GTTTTCATTTTCAGAGGGGCAATAGTATAATTCAGAATGACTAGTATAATTTATATTAGAATATAAATTATAATCTATTTCATTCCAGTTGGTAGAACCTTGTGGGGTGGGGGTTAAAAGAAGCTTGCTCTATAGCAGGGGAGGCAGGTGCTGAGAACAAAAATGTTAAACATCCCAGTGGCAATAGAGATAAGCCAATTAAAGGAGCTCTCTTGACCCTTGCTAAATTCCTTCATTTCTTTTAAAAATTTGGCTACTTCACGCAAACTATACAGACCCTAAATACCCTTAGAACTACAGCCTTTGCAAAAGCATGGGGTAGATCCAAACTTTGTCCTGAGGAAGGCTGTTGAAATCAGTGGGTTCCAGGGTCTAGTCTAAGCATCACTGAGCGTGTGATCCTATCAAGATGAGTATGGAACTCATTTAGCAATGGCATCTTGATTAGGAGGTGGAACAGCTTCAAGACAGATTATCCAAGGATCCTGATACAGTTGGTACAGTTCTTTCTATGCGCACTGCAAGAAGTCAGGGATCAGAGCTCTGATTGCCAGGTCCGAGATCAGAGTGTAGTTCCTGATCTGGGAATCTGAATTACTGAATGGCCTCCACAGATGATGTCTAGGGGACATAGGATCATTCCCCAACTCTTGTTCCGGCCCTTGTTTTTTAGCTAATGCATGCATATGTTGCAGAAAGGTTCTTCTAATATTGTTCTTGTCCTCTGTAGTTGTGCACACTGAAAATTCCAATTTAAAAAAATAGTCCATTTTTTAAACTGGTATTGATGCTATTGGTGTTATTTTCTAAGATTACTATTTTTAGCATTTGTAGAATGTGGCTAAAGTCAGTCTTTTACATAATTTTTTGCACACATAATGTACCTATGTTTGTTACCTCTAGAGATGGTTATTTTAATTAGTTCCCTAGTTAATGCTGTTAAAAGACTGCACTGATACTAAGATTATCCTGCCAGAGCTTCTTGTTCTCAACTTTTAACTCATATTCAACTAACACAATGCTGTTGTGATTAGTATACCATCTTCCTATTAATATGAAAATGCATTCTGTTGGCTTTTTACATGGCAAATGGGTGTCCATGGGAGCCAAATGTAGCCAATGGCAGCACACTGCATTTGTCTTGTTTTCTTTTTGTTTAAAAAGGTAGTCCTCACACACCGTACATTCGCAGATCATCATTACATGACTAACAGACCAGGAGGTCCCTTAGGTTCAGCACTGCACATTGGACCCTGCTGAGAAGCTGTGACAGTAATTTCCATCTATTCCTACTTTACAGAAATCAGCAGAAAAGAGAGGGAATCGGCTTTGCACATTTACAACCATGAGAAGACCCTTGTCCTTCAGTCTATAGGATTTGGGAAGAGAATAGACATACCACTATTGCCTAAGACAGTATCAAGCCCAAGACCCACTAGAGTGATACATTTGCCTCCAGGTATTTGACAGTAATTTGGGAAAATGACACAAATGGAGTATTCGTATTTACTTTAAATGGCTTTTATAATTTTTATAAACTATATAATTGCACCTGACCTAAGCAAGCATCGCATGTGATCATGGGGGTCCAAATATGGTTGCTGATTTTTTTTTAGCAGCAAAACCTTAAGGAAATCACTTTGAGGTATTTACTAACACTTAAATATGCTTAGTTTTCTAACTCTTTAGTACTGAATTGTTTAAGTATCTGAGGACCCTGAAAAGGAAATAATGTTTATGAAACATACCATATAAATACAGCTGCCTTCCTCCTAGTTCTAGGGGGAATGTTTTGTTTTGAACCTTTGATTAGGGTCATTCAATACAGGGAATTGATCTGTCACTAAACTCGCCAAAGTTTGGAATCAATGTGCAAGGACACAATCTTATGCTTGCCTAGACATTAAAGAAAACCTGCATTTCCCAATAACCCCCAGCCGTGTTCAGAAATGTAGACTTTTTCTATTTCCATCTGAACACTCATAGAGTTACACTCAATTTTAAAAAACAAATGAGCTTTTGTTTGTATGTTAAACAATACGAACAACTCTGTACATTGTAAGAAACTAGAAAGAAGTGCCTCATTCAAAAATCAATGCTAGCCAAACTTTTTTGATACTTGCTCTTTAAAACAAACAGCATTAGAATTGGCTGTCATTGTTTAGTATTATATACCATTTGAGTAAAATGATAACACACATTGTAATATCATTTTCTAATCTTGTTTTAAGGTTGTGAGTTTGGAAATCACCTGGTTAAGTAAGTAGTTTCACCAATCATTTCATTCTTAAGTATTACAATTTAAAGACAAAATTCCCCAATTATTTACAAATAAAACCAACGGTCTATGAGTGCCATAAGAACTCACTTATCAGACCAAAAGCTGTCAAGTCTGTTTCATCAGATGCATGACTTGATGTCTTGTATTGACAGATTTGGGGCCCTTACCAAATTAAGCCATTTAGAAAGCAGTCTGATTCACCTCTTCAAGTTAGATGCTGTAAAGCTGCAGCTGTCACATGACTCAGTTCTGGCTAAGCTAGCTAGGACTGATGGAAGCTGCAATGTGCCCACCCCTGCTTTAAAACCCTAATTTGCTCAGAGTCACATATTCCTCCATATTTGTTATCTAGTTGTGATTATTGTGAGCCGCCCCGATCTAGTTGTGTAATTATTGTGAGCCGCCCCGAGGCTTTGGCGAATGGGGCGGCATAAAAATGTTTTAATAAATAAATAAATAGACCCTAAAGTAATTATTTGAAGTCCCCCAAAGATACCCCCACCAAGGGAGGTGAAGCAAGTGGCAACAAGTGAGGGTCTTTAATTTTTCAATTTATATCCTGCCTTTTTCCTACAAAGGGCTCAAGGCAGCTTACATCATTCTCCTCCTCCGTCTTATCTCCACAACAACAACCCTGTGAGGTAGGTTGGGCTCAGAGTCTGTGACTGGCCCAAAGTCACCCAGTTGGCTCCATGGCTGAGCGGGGACTAGAACCCAGATTGTCTGAGTCCCAGTCCCATGCTGTTAACCACTACACCACACTCTCTCAGCTTTTCAGTGCTAGCTTCCCAGAGTCTTGCCGGGTGCCTAATTTTCTGGCACCACATGAAGTCTCAGGAATTTAAAGAAATATTTTAGTGCTTTAAGAGCTCTACATGCTTTATTTTTTGGTGGTAGATTTACTCTTCACTTTAGGTGTTATTAGCCTTTGCCACTGAACAGTGGGCCTTAATGATGTTTAGCACTAGCTGGACTGCATCCTTGGCTTCTACCAATTGTATGATATTTTCTTACGGTATTTTGTGACATGGTAGAAAATAAACTTCTCATGTTATTTAAGATGCCTTGGGTACTACTTATTAGTCAGAAATCTATCGCTATACATGAACATAAATTATAACTTGTCTCTACCCAGAATTCCTTTTGCAAATCCAGAAGATGCTGTCTTGGTGAGGGCAATGAACCGCACTCTAACCGAGTTCTCTACTATTGACTGGGGAAAAATGCCCACCTGTGAAGAAAAACGGCTTGGTTGTAATCCAGAAAAGGGACCAGAGAAACTGACAATCAGATTTAGATAGGAGCACCTTTCATTAGGCAGCGATCTCTGTTAGGAACTCTCTTGAGTTGTTTATGTATTAAATAATTTTGTTGTGAACCTCAAAGCTATCTCAAGCATTAAAATTGTCCTGTTGTATCATTTTAGCTCTTAGTACATGACCCTATGGCCCCTAGATGGATGCTGTTGGACAGAAACAATTATGACAGAAGAGAAAATCTGGGTTGGTGCCCCCCTCCCCCGTTCCTTTCCTTTACCCTAGAAGGCTTTGTTGTGGCTCACTTTTCCAAGACTGAATCTCAGAAAGGAGGTGACATGGAGCATACTGGTGTCGGACCACAGCTCCACTAGATCAAAGACTCTCAACCCGTGTCCACTGCCATCTTGAAGTCAAGATGTGTGTCCAGTGTAACACTAACCTGGAGGCCAGTCATCATTTTTGTCCACTATAATCTGAGGGCAACCAGTCTTTGCTTCTTGGCAGAGCAGAAAGTACAACAGTGAAAAGCTTCTGAACCTGGTCACTTTAGCCACCCAGTGACAATCCCTAGATCCTGCCCTTAACATATAGTGGACCAAGAGCTAGTTTCAACCCATAAAGTAAACTTTGTGTTATGTTTTTCATACGTCTTGTCCATAAAACAGTCACTCCAAATTCCAGCTGTTTTCCCATACATGCATGCTATGGGCACGAAAATAACAGCTGGTCCCCAGATTGTAATTGGGAAATAAACTGAATGATGCACCTCAGTTCACTTGGAAATTTGTTAAATTATAAATGCTAATATGGAAAGGAGGTTCAGCATACATATATACGTATAGCAAAGCCACCCTGAAGAGGGTGGCTGATGGAGACAGAGCAAATGGAGCACCGGCACCACTGCGCCTGCCTCCCTGTGTACTCCATCTATGAGGATAGGAAGGTTTTTGACCTGGTGCATCAGGGATCATGTGTTCTTAATAACATCATAGGCAGCCTAATTCTGACAAACTGGGTGCTGAGCCTCTCATTTTCATTTTGGTTAGGGTTTTCTACCATTTTCCAATAAATGAGAGGGCCAATTCTGTGGCTAGAGTTTAAAAGAACTCACAGTCCACACCCACTCACTCACACTATCAGTGTGAAGTCTTCACTTTTGCAATTTCAAGGAACGGATAAAAATTGTGGTCCAGTGTTCACCCAGATGATACTGTACGGGTTGCAACTTCATACTGTTTTAAACCTCACTGCTACCAGCAAATTCCTATGGATATGACATCAGCAAAGAAGATATAAGCAAGAGCTGGACGCTGATTCCAAGGGACAGAAAATGACAACAACCACCTTACTATGATAATACCTGTTGTACCTTCTTCCAATAGCACAGCATTCATGGGAGACTGATGAGCACTCCCTTCACAATTTCAAGGGTAACTGAAATCAAGAAACGCTCTCCTAAATATTATCAAGAGAATATATTTATTCTGTGACTATGATTCTTAAAGCAATCTCAATAGAGAGAGACAGTTGAAGAAAGTTATCCCAGTACAGACTGGCAGCATTATTTAATGAAAACAGACAAGTAACAAAGACCTGCCTTCAAATTCTACTTAAAGATCAGAAGGTATTTAGCTTTCAGATCTGATATGACCTAACACCTACCTAATTAATTACTGTATTTCTATATAACCTTTATGAAGCCAGGCAAGGTAGTTCACCAAGATTTCAGAAAACAAAAACCAGCCTCAAATAAAAACATAGTAAAACTTTAAACAACCATATAAACTGTAACAATTTTTAAAGCCAAGTTAGAAAGATGTGTCTTGAGCCTGTTCCTGAAGGCAGAGGGAAGGGAAACTACTTGCAAGCCCCTTCCTGGGTGACTGAGATAAGCAGGACATAAGCCACTTACAGCTGACTAATATTTTGAATTGACCCTGGAAAACAATTGGAAGCTGTGACAACTGATCACGATACTGCAAGTCAGTTACCTGTCTTGCTGCCACATTTTGCACGGCAGCTTTCTGGTGCCCTTCAAAAGTAGGTTCAAACAGAGCATCTTGCAATAGTCTACTCATGATGTAGCCAAGGCACTGATGACCATTGCCAGATCAGATTAACTCAGATGTGCAAGATCATAAAAGTGCTACAGACCTTTATTTCAGGAAAGCACATGACTCCATCCAAAACTGATTAAAACCAGTCTTCAAAGCAGGCATTCTGGTAAACAACCAACAGCACACACATCTCTTGATTTAATGTCAGCTTGTTTATCCACATCCAGACCATTATCAAATATAGGCAACATTCACCATGGGCCCTGATACTAAGTATCATCCAAACACAGGTGGGAGTTGAGAGACCACCATATTCTCAATCACCTTGGCCAACAATGGTGTATTTTTATAACTGCCATATAACTTCCCAGATCTTTTGGATAAAGCAAGGTTTAATAAAGGTCTCTCAACTGTCTACTTCAAACAAGAGGCAACATGCCCATTCTCCAAGCAGGAGATAATCCGATAGGCATTTGGCTGAATTAATCAGTCAGGAATGGCAAGGGTTAAGCAGACAAGTGGAAGCACCCACTTTTTCAATCACCTTGTCCATATCTTCAACAGGCAACATTTTTATTGCACCAAAACCTAAGTGGGTTGGAATTTGTAACAGATTAAATAGAAACTTTTTTATTTTGATTGCCAATAGCTATATTTTGAACAGATTTTTTTAAAATAAATTTTCTATGCTTTCTATAGCAATGAAAGCAGATGGGTATGTTGTTATATTTTTAACCAGATGGTTTATCTCCTGTTCTCACAATCTGGGATGGTGTGATAGTTACATTGAACAAGGAAGTTGACATACACTGAATCATAAAATGTCAGAGTGAACATTATCACTGCATGCCATAGACGGTATGTTTCATAACATTATGATTTAGAGGCCATCCTCCACAAAGCACTGCTTATTCTTCAGACTCTTGTGCTTTTTCAACAACTGTGTCTGCTGACTGGGTCTTCTCTTCAATGACGTCATCACCTTGGGAAGCTGTTGCACATGTATCCTTGGTAGGAGCCGTCTTCTCTGTTTTGTCTCCCACACACGTCAGTTCAACTTCCTTATTATCTCCGAATTCAGAGATCACTTGTTCTTCACTTGTTAAAGCAGATTCTGCTGCTTGTGCTGCCTCTGGGGTTGAACCACACACACCACAAGAATTATATAAATTACAATGCTTAACCAAACACAGAACATTAATACTAGAAGCTTTTTTTTGACTATCTGCTATGAAGCCATCATGAATAGAAGTTAAAATGGCTCAACAGAAGGTGAAGGCCTGCAAGACTATCCATAATTCAGGCCAAAAGGAAGAACATATTAAAGTGATGATGAAATTCCAAGAAAAATGGGGTCAAGTGAGACTGAGGGTTCCAAACCTCAGGTTCCAGAACGGAGCGCACCCTCTCACCCTGTGATTCAGAAGTGACAACAGCATTTTCTGGAAGAGCTCGGTAGATGGACAGGAATGTAAAAGCAGAAAAATATACCTAAGAATCCTGGTCCCAAGCCATTTATACTGTTAAAAATGTAATAATTAGCACTCATCCTCAGGACAAACATGTTAACATCAAGTCTGGGATACAAAAAGTAACTTCAGATCCACCTGACAGAGCCAGGTTATAACAAGTGGGTTTTTTTTTTTTAATCCCACTTCTACCCACAGCATGCCCCACTTTCAACAACAAATACTTTTTTGAAAGTCTACTTTGTTTCAGAAGTTGTTTTCTGTCTAGCACAGGAGCTAGTAAGTGCAGCATGGCAATCCCAAGCCCACACAGAAATTAGGAACTAGGGGTGTTGTTCTTGAGAACATGACTAGTGTTAAAAGAATCACAGGAGATCAGGGAATGTGAGATGATTAAAACTGTTCTGAAGGTCTCTCCCCACCACCAATAAGGGAGATGATCACAGATGGCACTTTAATAATAATGTTTCTCAACCTTTCTTTTGCTTTCTTTCTTGTTGCTTTTTCTCTCTGGCAGCTTCCAACTCCTGCTTCTCATGGACTTCCTTTAGCTTCTTGCATGCCTTCTTGTGTGTAAACCAGTGCATTTTCTGGCAGTTCTGATCACAGTAGATCACCTGAGAATAAACAAAGCACATTATTATCTGGATGTTCAATATTTTAATCAACTAAGATGAAAGCTACATCCTATGTCTTTCGTATCCAAAATTAGAACTTGGTCATTACGGTTTTAACACTGAGGAGCATGCTCCCCATTTGCTGTGGCAGTTCATGATGGAACAGCTAGCAGCTGTTCCCTCATTTTTACTTCAGGAAAGGTGTAGGCAACCTCTGTAGGCTGTTGGCAACATCTGACAGTTGGAGAAACTGCTGGCTCTCATGACAGGTATGGCAAAGTACAAATAATCTGATCAAAAGACTGAGCACAAGGCATCCAACAACCCCTCTGAATGCACAGTTTCAGCACCAGCAGAAACCCTTTTCAGAGCAATCCAGCTGTTGGTATTAACATGTGTTGAGCATGCATAGAAATAGGAGGAAGGACAGGCTACAAAAGACAGGCAGATAGCACAGAAGTGCAGGGCTTGCATCAGGAAGCCATATTCCATATGGACATCAGTAAAAACTGCCTATTAGAGCACTACAGTAATGGAACCAATTACGTAGGGAGGTTGTGGGCTCCCCCACACTGGTGGCATTCAATAGGTAGCTGGACAGCCATTTGTCAGGGATGCTTTAACTTGGAGTTGAGCACTGAGCAGGGGATTGGATTCAATGGTCTTATATGGTCCTTCCAACAATACCACTCTATGATTCTGCAATAGGTAAATTGGTGATGGGTACATAGCAACATACTTGGTTTTTGGAATCCCAAAGCACTGATGGTATTTTCCAGTAGATTCTTACCATTTTGCATATGGAACATCTTTTGGCTGCACCTTTTTCCCCACATGTTGTACAAAATTCGGCCTCTACAAAGCCCACTTGGCCAGTAATAGCTTGTGTAAGTATAGAGAAGGCTGTAGGATCAGAGCCCTGGGAAGAAATAAAAGACAAAGACACAAATAAGTCCCTGTATGTATGCACATGGGTGCACCCTTCCCACCCTCAGAACACTGCAACACTAAAAAGCCAGATTCAGATCATCGCCTTGCACCGCTACTCCATTGTGAGCATGCGCATGGCCCATATGTGCGCTGTTATCTGATGCTGGGCTGCTGGGGTGATGCTGGGATGGCTTGGCTCGTGTGCTGACAGAAAGGGCTCTGCTTTCCTCACTGTGGGACTTGTGCCATAGGTTCGCCACCATTGCCTTGACCCTACCCTGGTGCTCTCCCATAACCCTAATATAGAGCTACAGTTCCATGGAAAAGAGGGCAATTTTGAAAAAGCCTTCCTTGAATAGCTTTTTCTGCACAGCACTTCATTTCTGCCCATTATTAACACATTCCAACCATCAAAATCATGCCAGGACACCTCGTTTTTCTAACCCTAACCCTGCCCTGGTGCACACCCCTAACCCTAATATAGGGCAAAAGGTCCATTGAAAAGAGGGCGATTTTGAAAAAGCCTTCCTTGAGTAGCTTTTTCTGCACAGCTTATCATTTCTGCCCATTCTGAACACATTCCAACCATCAAAATCATGCCAGGACACCTTGTTTTTCTAACCCTAACCCTGCCCTGGTGCAGACCCCTAACCCTAATATTTGGCTAAAGTTCCAGTGAAAATAATGCAATTTTGAAAAAGGCTTCCTTGAGTAGCTTTTCGGAACACATTCCAACCATCAAAATCATACCAGGACACCTCGGTTTTCTAACCCCAGCTCAGTGATGGTGAACCTTTTAGAGACCTAGTGCCCGAACTGCAACCCAAAACCCACTTATTTATTGCAAAGTGCCAACACTGCAATAAAACCTGAAAACTGAGATTTTAGTTTAGAAAAAAACAACTCACGGCCAGTCCAAGCAATATATATATATCCTTGGCAGAGCACTGACCAGCCATAGGATGAGTTGCGGCTACTGAGTAACCGCTTGTGATGTCATTGCCTGACACCTACTCCTTTCTGACCATATGCACAGCCCCTATTTTTTGCTGTTATCCGATGCTCGGCCGCTGGGGTGATGCTGGGGCGACTTGGCTCGCATGCCGACAGAGAGGGCTCTGCGTGCCTGCTGTGGCACGCGTGCCATAGGTTCACCACCACTGGCCTGGAGTATTGGAGGAAACAGGGTCATTCCTTTGCCATTGTCATATATCAACTCTGCTTAAATGAAGTGAACCAGGACTGACATTCTTCTTGTAAGATAATTTGTTTACATCTATGAAATACATAGTGAAGTATTAAGCATTCTGTTGTCAGCTTGAGCATGAATATGCTGGTAGGATGCTGGGTATCTTTACAAGAAATACAAAGGACTACAATAAGCCTAATTATATAAATGCTGCACTGCAAAGGCAAATGGCTGGTGAATACAAGCAGAAAGATGACAACTCCTTCTCGCTCTCCCTTTCCCTTTTTTTTTTTGAAGAAAAGTTATTCAAATCCATCTTATTCCATTTAATCCTGTCTGGATATTGACTGCAGTCTATCTATTCAGTGTGCATTGACTAACCTTTCCACAATCGTCACAAGTGATTCAGAAAGCAACAAAAATCCTGTAGATCTACCATCTGTTTACTACTCATTTGTGTTATCTCACATCCCGGAATGGCATACAAAGATGCTTGTCACTATTTGTTTTAACCACGGCTTGTTGAACAAGCCAGAATCAATCCTGTAGATGAACAAAGAAATTATGGCTTGTTTCTAGTAACTCCTGTTTACTTCTCTTCACCAGTTCCTAGCATCCTGTATGCCTTTCAGGGACTATAATGACCTCTTCACATCACCAGCTCATTTACTATTGGCCAGCTGCACAAACTTCCCTCCCTTCCAGGACATCCCCAGTTGAGGGTTGAAAAACCTTAGATGGTTAGTCCTTTACTGTCAACCCAAAAACAATGAAAACAAGTCTCACTTCAAGACTGTTAGCCGTGTATTTTCCTCCCCCATTCGATTTTTCATTAAATGTATTAGCAGTCCACACTATTAACTTAGCAGGCATGAAAGGATTGGACTGAACTGCCCAGGGAAATACACATCTCACTGCTTCAGTTGGGTTCAATGCCTCTAACCTCCAGCAAATTACTCCCCAAAGAGTGGGACTAGATGGTTGCATGCAGATCGGCTCTCTGGCAGTTACTGCTTGGTCAGTGAGGTAATAAGCACCTCACAGCCACAACTAATCCTCCTTTTTTCCCCTGGGACTTGTATTAAGTTTTCTGTCTCAACATCAGCACGGTTCTCTATAGGACCCATGTTTCCACACTGTTAACATGTTGGAATATAATGCTAAACCGGCATTCGTTTAGCTTAAGTGTAGCGTGTTTGAACATCCAAAATCCAGTTTGAAACAGTTGTTTGTTGGCTTATGAATCCTGACTTACTTTAATTGTGGCTGGTCATTACATCCAAAGCCAAAATGCTCACTTTTTCCTGTTTTGATGTGGAACCCTATCACAGCCCCATGCCAAGCAACAGGAACATGAGGCAAGAGTAGCTAGAAAATTAAATCAGATTAAGTGACTCAATACTGCTTTTCCATAATGTTACCTTGCTACTCATTCTTTCTGGCAATAGATTTCTTTCCCTGGCCAACACTTTCAAGTCATCCTGCCTAATTTACTACTGCTTCTTAAAGACCCCTCTCCCTGTTTCACTAACAACGATACAGGACTTCCAGTTGAAAGTGCAATTCAACTTTGGCCAGGATAAACTGTGACACCCAAGAAAGTCAAAATAAATTAGTTTCAAGGAATAGCCAGTTAAGAACAAACCTAGCCCCCAGAACAGGATTAGCCAGTTTGTGTCCACCATCAACCATAGCCAGCATAGGCAATGGCGAGAGATCAGGGGAGTTGCAGGCCAAACCATCTGGAGGGCCACATGTTGTCCAACCCCGCCTAGAGACCAGATTCATTGATATTTAGCAAAATATGAGGTAATTCAAATCCTTTTCTTTTTACTCGGTACCAAGCAGCATGCCTGAAAACAAGTCAAAATGCTTTTTCAAGTGAACCAATTTATCTTGTTATTGCATATGTTTGCCAAATAGGCCAACTTGTTATTTTAAATGTTTGTCAAATAACCAAAGTAAATATTTAAACAAGGAAGCTCACAATTTCAACTGGAGCAATGCTTCTCACAAGCTGCTGTAGCAAGGTTGCTTCACAATAAGGAAATTTTCGGATACATTCTCTGATGAACTTTTCTTGATATACCGGAAAGCCATCTGTATCTCTGCCTTTTAGTAGGCTGAAATTATTAAAGCAAATATGAAGAAAAAGGATGTCAAGCCAACGCTGCTGGACAAATGCCTTCCTTTTTTATAATCCACATAACTTTCTTCTTTATTACAGTGCAGCATACAAGCAATGATTTAATATTCCTACTTCATACTCCCCAACTAAAAGAGACAAACAATACGCTTGAATGTGGCTGCCTATAAACCTCCAAACTAAGCAGATTATGGAAGTCCTACTGGGAGCAGGAAGAACAAGGGAGCAAATGTAGCCTCTGAACTCCTCATGCCCTGCTGATTTTGGCTAAGTCTTTTGCCATGGCTCATGAGGTGGATGGGCTGAGATGCCACCAAAATACATAATATCCTGGTGGAGCCTTCACTCCTCCCCTCCCCACCCCCTGGAATGTAACCCAACACTGGCACAGATGTTGGTCTTTTGACTTTGGCATTGCAGCCAGTGAGGTTCTGTAACTTCATGCTACATATACTTCAACTACGTAAATTAAAAAAAAAAAATAGTTCTGTATCAAAAAAAGCCATGAGTGACTATAATGCAGTAGCTTTTATTTAATATAAATTACAAATCAATTTCCAGGGCAGATAATAATACAGTAAAAAGAAGAGCAGAAAAACTGAAGAACAATTTTATACCACAAATTAGGAGATTAAAATGTCAAAGGACCCTTATCTTGGTACAAAAGAGACTCAAGTAGCAGTAGAGTCTCTGTGGGGTCCAAACCTTTGCTAGTCACCACATACCAACACTGGTAGCTTCTGGCCACAACTAACTTCAACCCATTACTTTGATAACCACATAACCAGACACACTGTGTAGTCAAGATCAATATAGTCTTTCTTCACCTTGACATTCCAATTGCCTCCTCCTGTCTGATCACATTAAAAGCAAATGGAATTCTCCCCAACAATGTAAATGCTCCAATTGTGCCACTGCTGCAGAGGCAGAGACAAGCCAGACAAATTGGTTTGCCACAAAAAACATACTGGGCAGCTACCAGGCCCTGCCAACAAGCCCCCCAAAAGCAAACAATGGCTAATATCAGAGGTGGTGCTTAGGACTGAAACAGACTGCTCTACTTGCAGTCTACATGGGTCTCTTCAGTGAATGGAGAAGCAGGACACTGACCCAATCCTTGGCCACTTGAAGACCCCCCAAGGAGGAGAAATAAAATCCCAACTGACCAAGAACATTCTGTGGAAAGCTAATGTATGATGGCACAGCTGACTACTGGAATGGCAGGGATCAATGACCTGTCTTTACTGGGACAGCAACTAGTAAGAAGCCATTCTGTATGGATTCAATACCATTTATTGGAAAACAATACCTTCTGATAAAGCCATCTAATTTATCCTCTCGCTCCTTAAGGAAAAGGATACATTTTTGGAAAATGCAACTAATGTAGTGCATTTTTACTGCCAGGACTTCATTCATATCCCTTTGCTTCATGCATTTCTCACAAATCAGATCCAAGACTCTGTAGCATTTTTGCATTGCTTCAACTTCTGCCAGAAGAGGATTTTCCTTCACCAGCAACACAATCTGTAGAAGATATGAAAAAGAGCAATATGGAGCAAGTAGGAGGGTTATTCTGGATAGATTAAAACAGGCAATTCAGGTATTATTTATTGGAGTTAGATACTGCAAGTCACCATAATGACGTCTTATTCTTTATCTTTTCCCATAAATAAATTGTTTTCTGTAAGTAGCTACTTTTTAGTGCCATACTACATACAAACTGATAGCAAGAAGGCTGGATCATAAAAAATGAATTATCTTTGATTGAGTAGTAGAAAAGTAGCTTTCTAATAGACAAATACCAGGTGCTTATGAAGTTACTGGGCTCCAAAGGAACTATATTCCATAGCTGCAGGTGCAATTATACGCCTGCTTTGACAGAAAATGTTCAGCTGCTAACGTGCATAAGGAAACTCCTAAAGGACTACCACATAAATCTAAGTGCTTCAGTTTCACAGAACTGCACATGAGATTTTGTTTAGCAGAATCAAGGACATCCATGGACACCCATCTATGAACAAGGAAATTGGCATTTCTCAAGATTTAGATGCTTCAGTGAAGTATATCTATGCAAAACAAAACCTTAGCAAAGAAAATGGTTCTCTGTCCAGTGTGTTAACCTTTCATTAGGCTCCATGTTTCATATGGAGCCTAAAGCCAAAGCTACTAGAAGGAAGGACTGGACCCTAGGGACTATCAAAAAAGGAACCCTAAATCATGAATTAGCTACAGGCCACATTTTGCCACTCCACTCCACAGATTAAATACTTCTCTCAGGGACTAAGGTCATTCCAAGAGATTCAAGTTACCTGACATTCTGCCAAGAAGAGAAGACAACATAATACTGTACCTTGACAGGGTGCAAATTGGTAGTCGTAATGACCTTATGCAGAGGTCCAGCCAACTTGGCCAGCAGCTTGGGTTCTTTGTCTAGTCCTTGTGGTTTCGTATAATAGTCCAGCCTTTCCCGAGGAAAAAAATTGTTGATAACAGTGACACAGTCATGTTGACCTAAAAAGAGGGTGACATATATTTATGGTGAGCAGGGGGAAAGCAGTAAGAGCTAATCATATTTGGAGATGAGGAAGGACAGTGGTAATTGAACGACAGAACAGCAATACCCCCTCCCAAGCTTTACAGATTGTCTTTCAAGGCAGTAATGTAACACAGTAATAAAACGAGCCACATCTCTATCTGTTTGTTTGTTTGTTTGTTTGTTTGTTTGTTTCAATACTGCCCAACAGCCAAGGCTCTCTGGGCTGTTAACAAAAGTTAAAATTAAGCAAATGTTTAAAATCTTATTCAAAGATTATGATCTGATGAGCAAAGCAACTTCTATAATGTATTTCAGACCTACAGTTCTAAACTCACTCCATGTGTTGTTCTTCACAGCACACCAAAATCTAAAAACCATTTCCATATGGCACTGCTAACCAGACAAGGATTTAATCCTTCTGGAAGCTACTGCATTTCCTCACTGCATCTGAAAGTAGCTCATTAGGTATTGCAGTTTGTTCACCTTTTAACTGGTGGCCTAATGTTTAGTGGTTAAGTTTGATAAACAGACTTTCAGAAACACTGAACAGACTGACAAGGGCATCACAAGGAAAAGAGCCACCTCATTGCCCAAGGACTGCTCAGACAGACATTTACTGAGTGTTACAGGTAAAGCAATATTCTCCCCAAGGTGGAAGGTGATCCATGAACCAGCTGCAAGTGCTACCCTGGAATGTGGTCCTTGTCCTAATACAACTTCTTCAATCATTTGTCTAAAGATTAGTCTAAAGGACATCTGAAGTGGGACTAAATTGTGAGACAAGGTCTAATTGTTTTATAATCCTCTGTTTTTGTGTACAATCTCTGAACAGTTTTTGTTTTTGACAAAGTTTAATGAGATTAATGGATGGTGTTGCATGCATTCTCCTTGCCAATCCCCCATACCCTTTCCCAAGCAAAACCTGGATGGCCTATTTTTAAATGGAAAGACTGGACAGCCATCTGAGTGGGATGGTATAACATGGTATCCTGCAGCAGCAGGGGGTTGCACTCAATGGCCTTCATGGCCCCTTCCTCTTCTATTCTATGATTTCCTAAGATCATCTTTTATTTGTGTATAAAAATGTTTATATACGGTTGTTCAGGAAGTCTACTCACTGCTGCTGGTCTCAAAAACAAACAAAAAAGTGGGATCAATTTTTTTGCTGGGAATAGGCTGACAGTGAGAGTTGGCTAGCTGCAGAACAAACCCCATTTAAGCTGACCCATGCGGATCTAGCTTTATATCAATTCCCGATTCTGAATCCAGCCTCCCTGGGGCTCCAGCCACTAATGTTGGAGGATTACAACATTAATAATAATAATTATTATCAGCTTTTAATAATGAGAATTTATCAGCAGACAGCAGTAAAAAGCTTAAGTCCAACACAGAAATTTTGCCTGGTCTAAAGAGAAAAGTTGTGAATATCTTTCCCTTATAAAAAAAAATCAACATGTTTCATCCAATCAAACTACATAAGTTGACAGTCTTAATGAAACAGAGGGGGTCCTTTTAATTTACCCACAAAGGCAGCCATCTGAGCTGCTGTCCTGCCCACAGAATTGACGGTGTCTGTTTCTGCTCCAGCCTCTAACATCATCCAGGTAATTTCTTTGTTACCTAAATACAGGAGAGAAGAAACTTTGTAAGTCTGTGCAAAAGCTTCAGTCAAGTAAGGGGTTTGCAGATCCATGCCTGCAATACTGGCTGGTAGCGGCTCACCAAGATTTCGGACAGACACCTTTCCCAACCAGGAACCTTTTCTATGCATGCAAAGTCACTGTCCTCCCCGCTACTCAGTGGCTGGCAACTTGTCAGAAAATTAACAATCACACACTCAAACATTTAGAGCACAATCCAATATACGTTTTGACAGAAAAGTCCTACAGCCTTCCAACTCCTAGTGTGCCCCAGCCAGCATGGTTGCCTGAAGAATGTTGGAACAGTTGGACCTTTTACTGTGTAAACATTTGTATGGTTGCACCCAAGTTCAACTCTCTAGGTTCAACTCTACCCTTCTTAATGCACAATCAATTCACACTGGCACCAAGTGCTCACAGGTAAACTAGCTTTCCCACGTGTGTCAAATAAGTAAGAAATGCCTACTGCTAACACTATTTTTAACACTACAATGTCCTCCCAACTAGAACTAGGAATTCAGATCACCAAGTAAGTTGAAAGGTTGTGATTCCACTGCAAATTATTCTGTTGATCCCCAACAGGAAATCATAGCTTATATTTGAAAGTGTTGCTCTTCCTGTACTGTCCCCGTAATATGTTGGTGTCAGTGAGAATCATACTGCAAAAATGATGGCGGGTTGGGTTCAGGTGTGAAATATGGGGAAAGATCTATACCTTAGTTGGAGGCAGAGATTTTTTTGAATGAATCTCCACTGTATCTTATCTTTACTTCAACCCTTCAATCTTGCTGATTTCCTTACATAAGAATCCTATTAGAGTTATACAAAATCCAGCCAACTACAAGCAGTGTGGATTATGCACCCTGAGAAGTCACTGTAAGCCCAAGTTGTTTCAACAATCATAAAGCCACCAAAATTGAAGTGCATGTGTATGTGTGTGTGATCTCTCCAGGAAGCAAAATGACAAAACTGACACTTTGGAAACATCATGAGAAAGCAAGACTTACTGGAGAAGTCAGTACTGCTAGGGAAAGTGAAATGCAGAAGAAGAATGGGAAGAACAAAAAAAAAAAAAGATGGATTGATTCCATAAAGGAGGCAGAGCCTTGCATTTACAAAAGCTGAGCAGGGTTTCGAGGTCAGGACATTTTGCAGGGCATTCATTCATAAGGTCAACAGAAGTCGGAAATGATGTGACAGTACATTACAATAATAAATCATTTTTTCACATGATGGTGGGCACTTTTGGTTTCTTTCCTAAACTAGACTATAGAAAACAGCACGGTTGACTTTGTCCTCAAACAGAGTCAAAAATATATAAGAAAATAACCTGCAAGACTTACTTTTACATTCTTATACAAACATCTGAGTGCAGTGGGGCTTACTCCCCAGTAAGTGGGGAAAGGATTATAGCCTTAGTTCTTATCTCATCCTCAGTTCTTATGTCTAGTAATAACCACCTACTGCACAGGAGCATGAATGAATGAAATATTGGTGGTAAATCTTTGTGCCCATTGTAAGCATAAGGTAAGATGTTTAAAACAGAGTAACCAAACTACCTGCCCTTAATGTTGGGTTAAGGGCTTTGCTATTTTTTTTTTACATGCTGGCGTTTTGGAAATAAATGATTTGGTTCTCACCTGTTACCTGGGACGCCTACTTATGCAGTTTAGCTATTACTGGGAGATTTTAGAGCTTGAGTTATTAAAAACTGCTAAACCAGAGAAATGTAGATTAGCTTCCACCTTCTCCACAAGGTTACAAGTACAGGTAGAACAGCTTAATGAGAAAGAGCAGTACATGAGTCACAGCAAGTCAGAGGGCTTGTTTAAAACATGGTGCAAGTTTCAGATTATCTTAGAAAATTGCAAGGACCATGCCCGATAGACCATGCTCTTGTTCTTACAAGATGATTTATGTATCAATAAATGTTGCTTATTATACACTTACGATTTATTAGAGAGAGACAAAGCATTTTTTAAAAAATGTTAACATTTCTCTTGGAACTTGCTTTGGATCCCTTTTTGGTTGTGTAAAATTATATGTCCTTTAATGAACTGAACTTCAGAGAAAGTGCAACCAAAATGAATGGCAAACAGATCTGGTTGGCAGGAGCCACCAGTACTTGGAAATCTCGCCTTGCAAAGGTGAGCAAGTGATAAGCACTTGATAAGCAAGTGCTGGAAAACATTGTTCAACCAATACTTCCTGAATTAGTGACCGAGAAAGACTGTTTCCTCCTTCCAAAGTCCTGTTCTGTCTTTACCTCATTAGTGGGGATGGATAACATACACATTGGGAAGCAACCAAGATACACAAACATGGTTAGAATTCCCACACAAATATTTATCCACACTTCTTTTAAGCCTCTCCACTGGCAGAGTAAAATTACACACAAGAACGAATCTGTGTCTTTTTGATTCTAAGTCCATATTTTGCATTCGGTTTCTTATTCTGAGATGAGGAATTTGTGTTCTAATAACTTCCTTCACCACAGCAGATTGCAATAACAATAAAATGCAATGCACTGAACAAATGAATACATCATTAAGGAGAGAACTACTCAAGTTATGAATGCAAACACATAAGGTCTAATTGGCCATGCTCCATATTGCCTGTATAGAGGAAGGTAAGCTACCTTGCCCATAGCTCAACAGCACTGAACAAAACCTCCAACCCTGTCGCAGATGCACAGTGGGTTCCAATCTTTGCTCCAAAAATAAATTGTAGTTAATGGAGAGAGAAATCTATGCTTACCTGAAAGTCCAGCAAACATCAAGGCAGTATATCCATGCTCATGTTCATTGCAGTTTACATCAGCTCCATGTCGCAAGAGCAGTTTGCACACGTCAACTTTCCCTTTGTATGCTGCGTGCATAAGAGGAGTCATGCCGTGCTAATGAGAGAAGGAATAAAAGCAAGAATTTTAAAATATCTCTGTTTGCAGTGGCATTTAAATGCCAAGGAACACAGTACTAATTTGCTACATGGACCAACACAAAAAGGCAAACCATGAAGAGCTGCTAAAATAAAAAGGTGGCACCACTAGCATCATAAAATGATGTTCATGAGAATATTCTGGACTATATTTGCTCAATGCTTTCCAGCTTTTAGCAAATGAACATGTTTTCCCGCTGTTAACAAGGGGATAGCTCTGTATGGATTCCATTTGTAATGACCACAGACAAACTTTAAATGGAAGGGAGCTTGAGCTGCAATTGCATGCTCTCTGTGTACCCTCCCTCTACCCTGTCATTTTTTCTAATACATTTCTTAGAGTAACTCTTACACCAAGAACTGACTTTTTCAGTGTATGCTTTTGTAACAATGAATACACTTTAGAGAACTATTGGAATATCAGCATGTCACAGAGCTCATTTGCAATCTCAGACTGATCAACAGTAAAAGTTAATGGTTGCAAAGCAGCAAGATCAAATATTTCTCTTCAAAAGAAGGTGGGAGGGCAACATATCAGCTTAGACAGAAGTAATTAAGCTTTTAAATCCTATACAATGATTTTAATAGTGAAGCAATAATAAAATCCATAGCTAGTAGAAAGATGAATTTAAACTCCTTTTCCATGTACAAGGAACAGACTTGTGCTGTTATAAGACTCTAAACATACAAGTCTAGGTAGAATCATACAAAAATAAGGCTGGTTGGGAATCTCTAGGAGTTGTGGGAATTATTTCTGACTAAGTAGGTATAGGGTTGTACATCAGAAGCCTTCCTGCACCTTCTATGGGCTGCCCCAAATTATGAAATTATCTCCCTACTAAGAGTAGCCTGCCTGACAATAAGACTGTCATCTTTTCAGCATGAAGTTAAGATTGCCCTTTATTTAATGTACTTAATGGCTTATGATGGCATTTATACTGGCTAACATACTTGGTATTTTAATTGAAATTATTTCTAACTGTTTTAACTTTTATATAATGAAATTTTGTGCACTATTTATTATCTGTATTTGTGGCTTTTATGAATTGTTGTGAACAGGCTCTGTGAACAGCTGAGAAAGCTTCAGTTGCTGCATGGCATAGAAATGAATTAAGAATACCAATAATAATAGGTGCTGGCAACCAATGCAGAAGTAAACTGAGGAGGTCACAATATCCAAACAATTACACTACAGCTGAGTTGCTCCAGATAATAATTCAAGGTCTAATTTAATTGTAACTACCAAGGAACCCATTATCATCCAGGGCTGACTTCCTATCACAGACCTCTAGGAATTGAAGACCACTGCATGCTCTCCCAAAATAAGTATTCTCTCTTCTGCTACAGGTTTTGTCCTCATTGCAACAGCACATTCAAGTGTAGTACATCACACCCTTTCGCTTGCCTTGGCAACTACTCACTTACATGGGACAAAGTAGAGGACTAGCCCTGGGACAACACAGAGAGGGGTTAAACCTGCTCCCTGTCCCAAGAAATACACTTGGCAGCACTTGAACTGCATGGTATTCTGGTTGAAAGTGTGTGTTTGAGAGATGTTATGTGATGGTTTCAGATTGCACTGAGCGTGTAATGTAGAGGAGGCTAATTTCAATGTCTACAGATCCCCCTTCCCGCCCCACATTTCATCTCTTCACATCGTGAGTTTTACCATTTTCCCCTTATCCATCCTCGTGTGTTTTCCCGAAAATGTTGTTTGCAACATCTTACATGACAGAACTGTGGGAATCTCAAAAGCTTGCTCATTTTGGGGAGTGACTTTTGAGCTGGCTTAATAAAGGCATTAGAGAAGTATGGGATTTGGAAGTCTTCTTATGGCTAACATCCTGACTTTTGATTTATATCGTTAAAAACAGTCAATGCAAATGACAAACTATGGCAAGATGCATTTTCCCCATCTTCTCATTGTGCCCATTCCAGAACTATATTTTACTGTCATGTTTAACTACACCTTATCTTTAGGATTCCATAAACATTAATAAAATTATTGGAGAATTCCCTCTGGGGGTTATTTGCAAGTGATGTGTGTGTGCATTTGAGAGTGTGCACACAATTTTACCCAGGATTTCCCTAGACATGGGAAAAGCCTAATTCTCCCTTCTCCCAGCACCATGATCCTACTATTAATAGTCAGTACATTTTAGCAGCTTTCACCTACTAACCACTGCTTTGGTTTAGTCGTTCAGGATAGGCTAGGTGGGGAGAGATCCAACTTTGAGTTTCCCCATGGTCATGAAACTCACTGGGTGACTTTGAGCCAGTCATCAACTTTCACCTTAACCTACTTCTCAGAATAGAGATGAGGATAAAATAGAGAATAGGATCATGCATGCCACCTTGGGTTCCTTGAAGGAAAGGGCAGGATCAGAATGTAAGAAACAAATAAGCTTTAAAAACGCCTATTGTGCTGGGCAAAAAGGTTAAAAAGCTGCAACAAAAAACATCCACAGAAGCCCCTTTGATAATTAACACTGCAGAGATGTGATGTGTAGTTCGATTCTAAGTTATACTAGTCATGTAGCTGAGACATAACAAGTTTACTCCTGTGTCAGATATGCTGCCACAACTTGGATCAGGACTACTGTGTTGCATGATGCCTCTGAGGTGGGAGCTATTTAGGAATGAAAACTGTTTGGATTGGATTTTTCTTCCTTTCTTAAAACAACCCACTTTGGTGGCAAGATGGAATTTCAGGGAGGAAAAAGGGTTGGGTATGGTATAGGAATGCAATCCCTCCCTGTTGGAGGGTGGTGGGCCTGATTTTAGTTAGGGCCATGCAGGCTTACACTAAGATTAAATAAAATGATTCAGCTCAGCAACACACTGTGCAATTAGTGTAACATACAGTTTAGCCTTACACAACAGGCAAGTTTTCTATTTTGGAAAGCTATGGACAGAGGTTTGCAACATTGTACAAGAGGCAGCAACTAAAACCAAAGAAAAAACAAATGCAAGAAAGCAAAATGGCTGTCTGAGGAAGCTTTACAAATAGCTGAGGAAAGAAGGGAAGCGAAAGGCAAGGGAGAAAGATACACCCAATTGAATGCAGAATTCCAGAGAATAGCTAGAAGAGATGAGAATGCCTTCTTCAATGAACAGTGCAAAGAAATAGAAGAAAACAATAGAATAGGGAGGACCAGAGATCTCTTCAAGAAAATTGGAGATATGAAAGGAACGTTTCATGCAAAGATGGGCATGATAAAGAACCAAAATGGCAGGGACCTAACAGAGGCAGAAGAGATTAAGAAGAGGTGGCAAGATTACACAGAAGAACTACGCAAGAAAGAGCTTAACATCCCTGACAACCACGATGGGGTGGTCACTGAGGGAGTTCCAGAAAAAACATCTACTTCTGCTTCATTGACTATGCTAAAGCCTTTGATTGTGTGGATCACAACAAATTGTGGCAAGTTCTTAAAGAGATGGGAGTACCAGACCAACTTATTTGTCTCTTGAGAAACCTATATGCGGGTCAAGAAGCAACAGTGAGAACTGGACACGGAACCACTGATTGGTTCAAAATTGAGAAAGGAGTTCAGCAAGGCTGTATACCATTGCCCTGCCTATTTAACTTATATGCAGAGCACATCATGAGAAAGGTGGGGCTAGATGAATCACCAGTTGGAATTAAGATTGCTGGGAGAAATATCAACAACCTCAGATATGCAGATGATACCACTCTCATGGAAGAAAGTGAAGAGGAACTAAAGAGCCTCTTGATGCGGGTGAAGGAGGAGAGCACAAAAGTTGGCTTGAAACTCAAAATTAAGAAAACTAAGATCATGGCATTCAGTCCTCTCAATTCCTGGCAAATAGATGGGGAAGAAAAGGAGGTAGTGACAGATTTTATTTTCCTGGGCTCCAAGATCACTGCAGATGGGGACTGCAGCCAAGAAATTAAAAGACGCTTGCTCCTGGGGAGGAAAGCTATGGCAAATCTAGACAGCATACTAAAAAGCAGAGACACCCTGCCAACAAAAGTGTGTATAGTCAAGGCTATGGATTTCCCAGTTGCAATGTATGGCTGTGAAAGCTGGACCATAAGGAAGGCTGAGCGCCGAAGGATTGAGGCCTTTGAATTGTGGTGCTGGAGGAGACTCCTGCGAGTCCCTTGGACCGCAAGGTGATCAAACTGGTCAGTCCTAGAGGAGATCAACCCTGACTGCTCTTTAGAAGGCCAGATACTGAAGATGAAACTCAAATACTTTGGTCATCTAATGAGAAGGAAGGACTCCCTGGAGAAGAGCCTAATGGTGGGGACAACTGACGGCAAAAGAAGAAGGGGACGGCAGAGAATGAAGTGACTAAATGGAGTCACTGAAGCAGTCGGCATGAGCTTAGGTGGACTCTGGGGGATGGTGGAGGACAGGAAGGCATGGAAGAATGTTGTCCATGGGGTCACGATGGGCTGGACACGACTTCGCGACTAACAACAATATATTTAAATGGGAAGCGGATTATTATTATCATCACTTTTCCAGTTTCTTTAGATGTGGCCTGTAGAGAAAAATTGACATTTTAAGCAGCAGTACACATGTATACTCTGCATTATGCATCCTGTATTTATTACGCCAGCAGGGCTTTCCAAGGTACTGTTGCATTTAGGATCTTTGCTTCCACTCTTTCTCATTTCCAACTGTTCTCTTTATGAAAATATTAAAAATATTAAAATAATTCAAACTATGAATATATATTTTTCTCATGCCAAAAATATAACTCTTTCAAGGCTTTTAAGTGGTAGAAGAGAATGGACTACATGAAATTCACCTAGGAGTAACACAGTGTGCATGCATATGCCAGCTGCAAAGAAAGTCAGCTTTAAAGAAGTGGAGCTTTCCCTGCCTTAATATATGCTTTAAAGATCAACCACAAAGATAGAAACTAAGGAGCTGGCCTTAAAGATTTCCTGCAAAAATGTTACAGAAATGCTGGCTAACACTGTATCCAGAAGTTAAAAACAGCTGCAAATTAATTCCAAAACTTGAAGAAAAAGCTATCACAACTGTGCAGGTTTATGATGCTATAGAGAAAAACCTAAAATGCGCAGTATATAAATGCAGTGGCTGGATCCAGCCCGACAGCACAAGCCTATGGCCTCTTGACAAAGCCTCCTTGGCAACAGGAGTTTCCGAGCTGCAGTTCTGACATGGGAGCTGGGCCTCTGTACTTGAAGCACCCTCCTCCTGCCTTGCAGCCACTGCAAAAAGAACCATGCTGGTTGCTTCACTGGTCACACTTACAATTCAGACAAGAGCAGAAGTGGGGGGGGGGGGGGGGAGAGACTGATTCTCCTGTGACACAAGATATGCTGGTGTTATCTCAGCCTATTTCCTTCCACTCTGAAGCACCACTGTCAAAAAGCTGAAATTGATCACTTAGCTATCTTGAGATTAACCTTTGCTTCCCCACCCACTCTGCACAGAATGGTTCTAATCCTCCCAGTTTGGAAGGTTATGGGCACCTCCATAGAATTCAACCCAAATCTACCTATAGATTTAGAACATTTTGATCCTGCTGTTAAATATAAAAAGTTCCAAAAGTGGCTTATGTAAGATCTACAAACAAAAAGCAGTCCCTGAATGCAGACTTACAATCCAAAAGGTAGAATACAAGATGAAAAAGAGATGGTAAGGAAAAAGGAAAACGAGTGAACTCATTCTTAAGAGTTATGCACTAGTTCTTAGAGTGGCCAGCCAGAGCAGAAACAGTTTAGAGAAAGGAGGAACTGAATAGATCTGTTCTCTTTGCAGAACTGTTGAACTGGCCTTGCTTCCCATCTCTTCCTCTGCTGTAGACTGACAGAAAGGCTACTGCCAACTGAACAAGCAAACAGGTAGAGCAGAATATGGCCACATTCATTTTAATGGGACCCAGTATTATATTAACACATTCTTTTCTTATTGAAAAGCAGCTGACCAGTAGTCGACTGAAGAATGCTAAATAGTGAATTCAGGAAACATGATCAACATGCATCGTATACAGTCAGACCCGCATACAAAACTAAAAACGCTGGACACATTGCCCTACAAGATTACAATCACTCCACCACTTTTGCCTTTCACTACACTTACTATTGCCTATTGATTATCATAAACAGGCCAGAAACTTGTTGAGTCTTTCTCACTGACGCTAGAGAGACAGGGCTGTTATAAGGACCAAAGACTCAATGAGACTCTGCTGAGTTACAAAGCTGTAGCATTTTTCAATTATTGCAGCAATATTGCAGAATAGGGTTCTAATTACTTGGGAATAACCATGATGGTGAAGTGGCTTTTATTTCATGGAATCTTACTACTAAAACGTGGGAACTTTGTTCTTACTAAAAGGTTAAAGTTCAACAGCTCTCTCACCAAAAGCTTTAATGACTTCATTGGAAAAAACAACAACAAAGGTGACGACACAGCCACAATTCAGCACAAAGTGAGAGATACATAACTCATTAACTCTGCTGGATAGTGGCCAATGTCTATGAGATGTTATTTCAAAGACACAAAATGGGCTATGATATATATTAGCTTGAAGAAATTTATCTATAAATATTTTAGAGACTTTCTCCCACAGTAACCCACTTTAGAGCTCCAGATTTGATTGAAAAAGAAATTCAAACAGAAATAGCCAGTTGTAGCTATTTTTTTAATGTGCTTTTAAAATATCCTATTATGTAAATACCGATTTTAGTCTTCAGTCATAAGGCCATGCTTGAAATATGTGATTTTAGAAAATGACAGAATTAAACCAAGAGAAAAAAGGAATTCTAAAAATACTAGCTTGTTCTGAAAATTAAGGCTGCAATCCTATACAAACTTGTCTGAAAATGAATCCCATTTAACTCAAATAGGGCTTAGGTTTGAACAGACATGTGTAAGATTGCACTATAAAGCCTAACAATATTTAAGTTCAGCCCCTGCGCATTATGTCCTTTCTTCACACATCACATTATTTCATTTCTAACAGAAAAGAATGTCAAAAACTGAGAATGCAAATATTGTGTGTCAGTTTACTACCGTCATTCTCAGATGAACTCAAGTTGAAGACAGCAACCTTACAGTCCTGGGACAGTGTTTCCATGTAGCAGTATTTATAGGATTCTTTGTGTCCTGTCCCGTCCCCCCTCCACCCGCAAGGCCACAGCTACAACCTTGGAAAAGGAACTGTGGAATCTGCTTCTTTCCCTGCCGTTGTGGAAAAAAACCATACCAGTTTTCTGAGATTGCAAAAAGTGGCCTCAGATTAAAGGAAAATGGGGCATTCCAGTAAGGAGAATGGGAAAAGGCAAAGATGCAATGAATCCTATGCTCTGCTAGTTGCAGAGACTCATTGACAGGAGGCAAAATATGAAGGATAGAGGACTGCAGATTTGCAGAGTAAACTGGTACAGACAGGCCACCAAGTTTGGATGCTTCTATCTCATAAGGATATAACCCACAGGTCTGAACCTTAAGCATAGTTCAGATACTTCCTAATTCCAGTAGTTCATACATCCTTAGTTAAGGAAATGTGTCAGCCTTGGAACTGCACAAGTTTCTTGACTCTCCTCAATCCAGAAGCTTATTTTAGTTAAGTCTTTTTACCTCATCCAAGCAATTCACATGGACATTCTTGCTTCCTAGCAATCTTGTAGCTTCTGCTGTGTTACCTAAGGAGGAAAAGAGGAGTTCATGAAATCTAAGAAATGACACAACAAACAAATCAATGCATACATTTTAAAACCTAAATTTTCTGAATGTAAAGAAAAAAGTTTTAGTTTTTTTCTCTGTGTGAAAGACTGATAATTCAACCTTAAACTTATGCAAGTTACTAGCCTTCTTTCTGATGTATGAAGTACTGTGAGAAACAGAATGGTGTTTTTGTTTTTAGTAGAGAGGAATTCACAGTATGGTCTTCCATATGATCTCCAAATGGACATATTTGTGCAAACTATTTTTAGCACAAATTGAAACACTTTCCCATTTCTCCTGTCAGACCTCTTCTTGTCCCACTTGAATTACTCCTTAAGATACCATAATGACTTGGGCACAGAAACAGCTTTGGTTACCCTATATGATGCCCTGAAGAGACAAAGAGGGAGTGTGACCATCGTGGTATGCCTGGATCTCTTGGAGGCTTTTGATACCAATATGTAGCAGCTGGATTAGTAACCCAGATCAGGGGCTCCAAACATATAAAACCATTTCTGACCTCTCTGTGTGAGCAAATAATGGCTGAATTTGCAATTACCAGGTATCAGAGGCTTAAAAAGAAACCCCTTTACACGCCATAATCATAAACGAAGGTTTATTCTCGGTTTCAGTTCCTAGCTGATGTAAGAGCAGCCTGGAGCCCCTGCTTAATGACATGCTAGATTTTTCATCCCCGTAAGTTTATCAGTCCTGCTGGTGGACATGCCAGGTGGAAGCAAATGGCTTGAGTTCCTGGTAAGTCAAGACTGTTCAGAAACATGCCAATGAGGCCACTGTCAGGAAAGGGAGTTCCTAAGAGAAGGATACCTTACATAGCTCAAGAAAGTAAACTACTTGCATGACTGCTGAAGCTCCTACTGTACTAGTAAAGGGTAGTGATCAGAGCACTGGATATAGCCTAGTAAGACTTGGTTCAAATCAGCCTTGAAATTCACACTCAATACCTTTCAAGCAAACATACTTCACAAGGTCCATGATGTCTTCAGAAGAAGGTAAGAGATATAAAAAAATAATACTCGTGTGTTTGCTGTACCCATTGTACAGTGTAGAGTTCATTGGAGAATGTGCCTATTCAAGACTCACAGAACAGCTGAAGAGAAATGCCTCAAGGGCTTCCACAAAATATGTCTACACTGGAAAGCAAGGATCTACCAAGTTTCTACCTGGGTATATTTCATCAATGGAATATTTGCCTAAGGGACAGAACTAGGGATGGCTTTTGTCATGTCAAAGTAATGGCTCTGTACTCATGTTTTTAACATGATGGTGTAGCTTTTAAGTGGGAAGACAGTCCAGACAGAAACATGGGTTTCTAGATGGGTGGGTTTTCAGATATTTGTCACTCCTCCCTTAATTAGTCTCTGGTGGGGGAGAGTTGGTGATTGCATGACCTTATCATCTAGAGGAGAGAGATAATTCTATCCCAAGGACAACTGGCTATATTTTACTGTTATGGCCTTTTGGCAGTTAATGGCCTGCAGCTAGACTGAAGCCTGAGAGATGGTGATGGGCCCAGAATTGGCTCCCAGCCCTTACTCCATGGTTAGGATGGAGGTTGAAGTAAGAGGGATTATGATGGGTTTTTGTCTCCTCTGGACTAGAAACAGACCAGAGGTGCTTTACTGACCAGCTCTGGAGAACTGTACCCTTGGGATATCTATTTCCCTAGGAAATGTAGAGTAGGGTGAGTAGTTATTTCTGCCAAGGCAATATTCTTGGCAACTGGAGCCATGTTCTGCTTTTTTATTGCTTTATTCTCTTATCATATTCTCATCCTTTCCTTCCCTTTTTCCCTTTTAATTGCTAAATGCAGTGACAGGTAGAAGGACAGACTACTGGGAAGGGGCAGAGAATGGGGCTGTGTGATGATTCCTAGTCATCTCTCACATTCACATGCTCTTTTTTAATTCTTGATTTCTTCAATATACTTTTTAAGTCAGACTGTGAGCTGACTTCAGAGCTGGGAATGGGGCTCCTCCCCTTCCTCCATGCAGCTGTCATGGAACAAACTACACTGGCTGCACTTGGGGGTTTGGAAAACAACCACTGAGAGACAGGAACAAGAGCACTTTGGGGGTTGGGGAGGGGAGAAGACTGGAAAGCGGAGGGGATGAGGTATCCAGAAACTGCTCCAACCTCTTTCCTTCCAACATGCTTCATCAAGATCAGTGAAAATGTGGCTCTAGTAAAAATGCAGAGCAGCAGGCCATAGAGACAAAGATATTTTTTGCTGCTCCTGCTGTGCACTGGATAACTTTAAGCCTCCTGGACTGTGCTCTAAATTGCATGTTTGTGTTGTGAGCCGCCTTGAGCCTCAATTGCGGAAAGCTAAGGAATACATGTGATGAATAAAAAATCAGTAGATATTTGTTCATATGAATCTGTCAATTTTCTGCTTCTGCTGAACAACTGGAGCTACAAGCAGAGATAATTCATAGCATGTGCAAAGCAGCCATGATCCAGCCTATAAGAATGCAGTGCACCCGCTGCCTGGTGTTCCAGGTTGGCCATCCTATGGTTGCCTCAGGGACACAGGACCCAAGACATTATTTATTTAATGATACGTTTACAGTACATCTTGTCTGAAACAAATCCTAAAGTGATCTACAGAAGAATAAAAATGAACAAAAACAAAGCAAGTATAAAAGAACAAGACTTTGTTTATGGCAGTATTATGAACAAAGATAATTCATGGTTGAGGAAAGTCAAAGCAAGCAGATATTATGTTTTCAATAACTGCCTGAAACAGGCCAGCATTGAGACCTAACATATCTGAGAAAGAATCTTGTTCCACAGAGAACCTTCACTGCAGTGAAGGTCCGTCTCCATTCTGTTGCCCGATGGAAATGGCATGGACAACAGAGTCTCCCTAAAGATCATAGTGCACTGGGACAATGGTTTAGGAGGAAATGTCCCTTGACCTGCAGAGATGGATGTGAAAATACACTGAACCCTTCAAGTTTTATGTTCTACTATACAAGGATATGGAAGAAGGGAAATACTCTGGCCAGAGTGCGAGGTTATTATATTTATAACCTGCCCCTTTTCCACTTACAAAGAACACAAATCATCTTATATAATATGCCCCATCTCTAGTTTATTCTCACAACAAGCTTCTGAAGTAGGTTAGACTGAGAGTGGAAACTAAACTCAGACCTCCTGAGTCCCAGCCAAACAATCTAACCACCATATCACACTGCCTTCCTACAGATAACATAATGCATTTCACATATTTCTCACATCATTATGCCACCTAGCAGCCAAAAGTCCTCTATGAGATAATTCTTCAAAGGAAGGGGCATTCCTTTTCACCGGCTGCAGCTGCAAAAGTGCTCCCTAGGATCAGCTGCTGGCAAGGCCTGCCACTTCTTTAGGCAATGTGAAAGTGAGTAAAGTGTTGGTCTTGACATGAGTGCATTCAGTGGCTTTAGTCAGCGATTGTGCTAGTTCAGAAGGTGGGATGCAGGACACACTCTCGGATGGCCAACACTGATCCAAGGAGAAATACATACAGCCTCCCCTTCTGTTGCACTTCAAAAGATGCAATCCTATTCCTAGACAGAAAAATAAAGCCCCAGTGAAGGGAATGTTTAAGCAAGCATAGCACTGCACCTTTTAAAAGGTACTATCTTAAGGTCTAGCAAGGTGAACACCAGCAAGGTAACTTTTCAAGCTTATCCCTAGAACCAGCTTGCTCCAAAAGCAAAACAAACCCTGCCCCTGCGCCTTATTCTGGGCGCACTTTATGACTCGTGGAGGCCAGCAGTTACAAAGTGCGTCCGCTTATTTCTAGTGCCAGATAAGAAAGGAGGGAGGGAAAGAAAAGCAGGCAGGCCCACCAGCTTGGCCTGGTGGAAGCCTCTTTGCCGTCTCCTGCAAAACAGCTGGCCGCCGCGCAAAACAAGGAGGGCCGCCCGTCGTGCACGCGCCTCACCTTTCCCAATGGCCTCCAGCAATTCTCTTTCCTCCTCGTTCAAGTCGCCTTTCTTCGGAGGAGCCATGTCTCACTGGACCGATCGCCTTTCGCGCCGTAGTCCCGGCAAAAGACACTTCCTTCCGTGCGCACAAGCAAGGAAAAAAAGCAAAGACGCCCCGATGCGCCGCGCCGCACGCAGAAGAACGCGCCCCCACGCCGGAGGCACTCGCAAAGGTTTCTCTGCAGCTCTTGCCTCGGCGGTGCAACTTCCTCTCGCGGCCTTGAGGAGGGAGGGTGAAACCACCGCTCCAAAGAAAAAAGGGACAAAATGCTGCTCTAGGGAAGGGAAACTAGGCAAGAACGTTTGGCTTCAGCCGGACGCTCCAAATAGTCCTGACGGTGCCCAGCTGAACGTGGTCACATTAACTACAGTTATTTTTCGTGCTCTCTGCGCCCCCCCCTCAACTTGAATGCAATGGTACGACCGGGCGGCGAAGGAGGTGGGGCCCGGAGCCTAGTCTGTATGTGGGGGGGGGGGCGGTGCGCGCGCGCGCGAGCGCGCGAGTGTCAATGTGCTTGTCCTTCACTTCTCCATTGTCTGGGACTGCTGCAGCTGCCGCCTCTTTGCTTCTCCTCTTTAGATAAGCGCCCCTTTCACGAGAGAGGTAAAAACCGCACAGGCTCGCTGGCTTTGGGAAAGGCGACGCCCCGAGTCTAACGGAGGGAGCGGGGAGAGGAAAGGCTCGCTGGGTCGGAGCGGTAAATGCACAAAAGAGGCAGCGGTAACGTGCGTGCACAAGCCCTGTCAAGAAAGGGCATCAGGAGGGAGGGATCCGCTCTCCTCCGGCACGCTGGGCTGCCGTCCGTGGTTGGCAGAGCTTTGCGGGCTGGGATTTTCATCCGGGCTGAGCGCCGGGTGGGGAAGGTAGCTCCTCTTTGCGCAACTTTGAGCTGGTGTGCGTGCCGGTGTGTCTTCAGCAAGGTGACACGGGACGAGCACATCGGGTTAGAGTGTGGGGCCGTGAGAGCTTTTAAAGCTGTTATTTATGAAAACGGTTTAAGCAGTGGTGCTTTAAGGGCAAAAAATAATCTGGTCTGGGGGGAACGGAAAACCTTTACAAGCCCGGTCGTGAAGCTCTTCTGATGGCTTGGCCGAGTAGTATGCCAAGAAACGTGTTGTGCAGAGCAGGCCCTCCCGAGAGGGATGCACACGATCCAGCGCTTCCTTTTCGCCTGCTCTTAGCTTGAACAAGCAGGTTGCAAAGGAGCAGTTTGCTTTTGGTCTCTCGGTCGCAGGCGCTCAGGCTCCCCGAGAGCCGGAGTGCTCAGGCTTGCTCCTTGGTTGCGGTAGTGAGGATGCGACCCAGGGGTGCTTAGTTCGGAAACCGTTAAACAAATCCGTGCGTGGAAGGAGGCTCTGGCGCTGGCGGACGCTGCTGCTGTTGCGCTCAGTTCTATTACAAAGGCGCCATTAGAGTTCAGGAGACCTTCAGTGGTATTAAGGCGCAATCCTATGCGTGGGTGGACGGGAAAAAGGCCTAGGGGTTCTAGCATTCCTCTGCCCAGCCAAGCTTTCATCCCATCTTAATCTGTATAGGATTGCGTGCTAAGTATAATAAGGCGACCTCGCTTCCTCTGTGGTTTCGTGCCTCTGCTTAAGGATGTCTGAAGCTGCAATCTCATACCAAGCAATTTGGAGCAAGTCCTGTTGAAGTCAGTGGAACTTACTTCTGATCTGAGCGCTCATGGGTTAGGGTTGCAGTTTTCTCTTTGAACACGCTAACAACAGAAACCCAATAACGGCGTGTGTAATCTGGAAAAATTACTAATAATTTTCAGATGGTTAAGGGTAATGTTTGATTTAAAAGTTGGCTGAGATTTGTAGTTTAGCGTTCACAAGCGTCTTGTAAGTCTCTTGGAGGAACAATCTACACATCAGCCAGCCAGGGTTTTTTTTTTTAAGTTTGCATATTTGCTACTTAAATGATTGCCCACCTTAAATTTGGAAAGCTGAGTTCTTGAGGGAGCAGCAACCAGTTGCTTGAAAGCATCAAATATATATATTTAACACTGTTTTATTCACTGGTTATAATAAATCCCACTAAAGATACTGCCACAGCTGACCAGTAATAGACCTCTGTAGATTTCAGTGAGATTAGGTTTTGTTTTGTTTTTAATGGTTTGTGGGCTACAACCTGCATGAATTATGATTGACCTATAAAATAAGTTGAGAGATTTTTTGCTGCTCTTATTCAGCTAAGGATTAATGGAATTTCCATTTGGCATTTATAAGTTGTAATGCAGTATGCTTTCTGAATGCTACTTGCAGAATATGTTCTGTAGCTAAAGTAGTTTTAATTAGGTTTACCTTTTGAGCTATACAAATACATTACATTAAATGGAGAATAATCCTAGAAGTGGTTCCCATTATTATCTTCCATAAGATTTAATTTCTGCTCTGTGCGCTTATGGTTTCTGGTCTGTGTTTTCATTTAGATGTTCTTGTGTACACCTTCAGGGATCAAAATGATGTAAACTGATGCTGCAATGCTTATGAGTGGCAATTTTATTGAATAGTGCTTTAGTTTTTTGCATCTGGAACAAGTAAATATGGTTTATCTATCACTTGAACTTTTTGTGTGTGATACATGTTAAGCCTGTAGACATATAAATATTTTCTTTCCGGGAAATTTATTGTACATTACTCATTTTTTAAAATGGAAAAATGTTACAGTGGCTTGACATTTTATTAATTCACAAGTCAGTTACAAATTTCGTGTAGAATAGTTACAAATCCTAAATGGCTATTAATTAGCATTGTTTGGACCCAGCTGTCAGGTCTGAAATATTCTAAGTTTGGATGCAGTAGAGCTAGTATGAAAAACTCTGTGGCTTTCTTGTTTTCATCCAGTTAAAAAAAATCTAGTAGCATGTCTTAAAAAAGAACAGTCTTAGGATGTGATCCTGCCTATATATGTTTAGGCAGGAAAAAAGTCCTGGCTGGTTGCGCAGTGCTGAGTTGTGGCACTTTTTTGGTCTAAACATGCGCTTGTGCTGAACCCAGGTAGTGGAAAGATCCAGATGCGGCAGTGAGGGAAAAGGGAGCAGCAGGGGGGCATTAAGAGATTACTGGTCATCCCCAGGTTACAAACAACCTGTACCTGTGAATATGTAGGTACTCATAAACTCATAGGTGCCATAAACCCTACATAAATATCTCTAGAAAAAGCTGTGATTATCTCTAGGGAACTATGTGATGTGTTTGGTGATGCGTCATCAATAGTTATACAGCTCCTAGATATATTCACAGCTTTTTGTTAGAGAATTGCTAGAGAAAGTCAAGGCTATCTCTAAAGAACTATGTGATGTATCTCTAGGGAACTATGCAACACATTTAGAGACATCAGTGGCAGCCTAGTTCCCTAGAGATAGAGTGTTTATGGCTTTTCATTCCACAGTGTTGGCTTGAGTCTACCGAAGCCAGTGTTTTTCAGGGCACATGTAGGGCATGTAGTTCCCCTTTGGTTTTTCTTTAGCATCTGTCCTTGTAACCAGGCCCTCAGCTGCTACAAGACCATTTATAATAAGAAAAAGAAAATGGCTATACAAACAACCTTGAGACCTACTTCAAGAGAGCAATTCCAGTGGTAACCACCCTCTGCCACTCTCCAGCAGCACAATCAAACCCTGACTCTCCAGCATCAGGTCCCTCTCCATCATCATCAGTTACTGTTACCTCAAGAATGTTCTAAACCATTTTAAGAACTGTTTATTTTATTTGCTTTTTTAACAATACTGTATACCTGAACACATACATATGTATAGATTCTCTCTAACTTTTCAACACCTCTAGTTACTTTATTATTACTGATCTGTTATCATTATTACAATGCCGTATTGTGTTTAAGATGTTTTAGCAAATACTGAAGTTTTTAAGCATTTTATATGCATAGAAAGGTAAAATATATACATATACATGATATTCATATACATGAAATATATTCATATACATGATATTCTATCATGGTGGGCATGTCATGAGCAGACCCGGCTGGAACCGGGGGTCAGACTAGATGGCCTGGGAGACCCCTTCTGAGTCGCTCTGTTTCTATGTTTCTATACTAAGACAAACATTTGGCTCAGTCATGTCATCCGACTTACATACAAATTCAACTTAAGAATGTTCTCAGGAACGGAACTCACCCATAACCCAGGGACTACCTGTACAGGTTGGTACTATAAAAGAAACAAAGAACAAAAAGGGAAATTTTTGTAAAATAGGACTTTTGAGGAGCCTCCCTTGCTCCCCCCCCCCCCGCCACAGCCCTGGAGGCTACTGTTCACCATGACACCCCCTCCCAATGCCCCGTTGGGGATGAAGGGTGGGGACAGAGGCCAGGCAAACAAGGGGTATTAATTTACCGAAGGTATGACAACCCTAGTACCGCTAATACAAAGAAAGAGGCATGGGGACGTCATCCAAAAGGAAAGGGGGTGGCAGCCCAAAAAAGTTTGGGACCACTGCTGTAGAACCTGCAGAAGGTAGCTCTGTTTCAATTATGGTGTCTTTGCTGCTGTATGAAATTTTTTAGATATTTCCCCAGTGTGAAACAAAGCCATTCTGAAGAACAACCCAATAAATGACAATAAATTTTGGTCCAATTAATACACATCTTTTCCTGCTTGTCTGCAACCCATTATGGGGTTTAAGATGGCAAAATGCAGATATATATGTGTGTGATAGTTTTATATCTGTGTGATTTTTAATTTTATATAATGCTTGTAGTATATTTCAGTGATTTAAAAGTTTTAAAGAGAAAGCAGCTGCAGAGTACTTTGACTTTAACCTGGGTGTGTGCTGGAGTAGAGATGGGTAATCTATGGATTAGACCAGCTGCTCCCCAACCTGGTATCTTCTGGTTCGGATGAATTAAAACTTCCCTATCCCCAACCATTATGGGGAGTTTGTCATGCTGGCTGGCGATGATGGGAGTTGCAGCCCAACACATCTAGAGAGAGCCAGGTCAGGGAAGGCTGGATGGGGCTAATGGAGGAGTAAAGTTATCAGCAATTTTCTTAATAGCAGAACCCAGAGAATATCCTCTGTTACCGTATTCCCATGCATTGTACTGAATTAATCAGAATGAACTCTGTAGTGCCCTACAGAGATCGGTTCAATTTCTGCTTTCGTTCCTGCTTTTCCCGTTGTGCAAATATGGAACATGCATAAGACTTCCTGATTTAGCAATGGAACACGCACAAGTGTCACTGAAAATTGAAGAATAAAATTGTACAAAGTATGGTGGGTGTCCATTTATGGGAAGTGGTACTTTATTTGGCAAATACAGATCTCTTTAGTAGGATTATACTTATAATAGATAAATACACACATTGAGTATAAATACATAATAGATATTTAAATAATAGATAAATATACACATTTGATCATCTAAATCTGATCAAATTCCGTTGAAAGCCATCAGACATAACTTAGTCATCATTTCAAAGCCTTTCTAGTATGACCAACTCTGGAGAAAACGTGTTTGGTGTTGTTGCACCAATACAACTTTGTCTTGTGCATCTATGTGTTTTCTTCTTGCACTACACCTATAAATATAAATGTTAAACAAGTTTGTGTCTGTGGTTGATTTTTTTAACCAGATTT